GCCATGGAATACTACGCAACGGTAAAATGGAACAAACTATTCATACACGCAACAACTTGGTGGGATCTGAGTGCAAAAAGCCAGTATCAAAAGGTTCTACACTGAATTACTTCACTTTATGATATTCTTGAAATAACAAATTAGAGACACTAACGTGTGGGGAGCAGCAGTTGCCGGGAGGCAGGCGTGGGGAAGTGGGCGAGCCGGGCTGCACCGGGGCACTGGCGGGGGCTTTGGGGAATGGAACAGCTCTGTATCTCGAGCGTGCAAGTGACTTCATGAATCTATACACGTGACAGAACCGCAAAGAGCTCTGCGCATACGCGTAAATGAGCACGTGCAAAACTGGCGAAATGCAAACAAGTCTAGGGAAGCTGGTGACGCCTTAGCAAGCCCTGCGGGCTGTGCCAGTGTCGGCTTCCTGGTTTACCGGGTTCTGTGGCTGTGAACGCGACCACCACTGGGGGAAACTGGGTAACGGGCACTAAGCTTCCCTGGACTTTTTGCAGTTTTCTGTGACTCTACAGTTATTTCAAAAAACAAATCTTAAAAAACAAACTGGATTGGGGGGATAGTTGTACAACTGCATAACTCTACTAAAAATGATCGAACTATACTTTTACAATAGACGAATTTTATTGTATACAAAATATACCTCAATAAAGCTGTTTTTTAAAGAAGAAACAATAATCAAACCCTAATGTATTACCTAAAATGAATATTCATCATGACAGAGTATCAAGCACAGACTTTTCAAGATTCCTTCAAAATCCTTCTGGAGTTCATTTCTGATTTTAACTGAACTATACTACCAGTAAATTTTTCTTTTAAAAGTTTCCTGAAATAATAAACAGGAAGTTGTTGCAAAGATTCTATATTATCACAAAAGTAGCAACTCCTTCCTAACAAATTCAAAAAAAACTTTAACAATAAAAGTAGCAGTCCATATTTAAGCTAGATTATTGACTATGAAAGATGTTGTCCCAAGGAAACAACAGACGATGAAGGCACAGGCGAGCCCCAGAAACGCAGCTCCTCAGAGAGCATGGGGTGACGCTGCGCACCGTCTGTGACAAGTCCGCACATGGGAAAGCCCGGTCCGGCACTAAAAAAGCCTGCCAGCAGAGGCTCTGTGGAAAGCCTCACCCAACCTCACAGTAACGGTACAGCTCTCAAAAGAAATTCAGACATCCCCCAACAGTTCCACTGGCCCACTCTTCTCTCAAGTTCAAAGGTGCTACAGCCAGGATTCTCCGCCTCAAGCCCTTGGGTCACATCAAGGCCCAGAGAGCCTCTTCCATGGATGGCATTCCATCACCACCAGGAGCCAGCTCAACAGAGGCACGACCCGAGCTTCCCTTGTCTCACTGACCAGTCCCTGGGGGACAGGCACTGCTTCTCGGACAGCATGCTTCTTCATGACTTTGAGTCCACACTCTTTTCTGATTTTTCCTCACATGCTGGACTCAGTGCCTTCTGCCTTCTCCCTAACGACTTGTACACAAACTGAAGTACTTAATAGCAATACTCAAGCTTGGGATCCAGTCTCTGGATTCTTTTCTGGCTCCTCAATTCTAAAATAAGCTTCCAGAGTCCAGCATCACGATCTGTGGACCTGGGCAGAGGCCACAGAGCAGGCTACAGAGAAGGCCACTGCCAGCTGTCCACAGCAGGAAGAGACAGGGCCTCGTCACAGCCAACTCGTAGGGGCGCCCACCTGTATTAAGTTGGTGGGACTATTAAACAGGAAACTTAACTGGAAATAGGAAATAGTTTAACCTAAAATATTCCCTAAAATATTAACCTAACCTAAAATATAACCTAAAATATTAAAATAAATACTTAAATGCATGTCGCGTGTCTGGGCAGAACACGCTGGTGACCTGGCACCGCTCTCCCACAGCCATTTTCTTCCTTCTGGCACTTTACCAGAATGGCTTATTTTTAAGCACTACATCTAAAATGCCAACAAAACATGCATTTTCCTACGCTTATCAATTTAAAAATAGGAAATCTAAGATTCTGTCCAATTTAAGCTTCAACCTTAATGAGGATGTCTCCATTCTAAGGACGTACTAACCTCATGGAGCGCATTGTTAACACTTATCAATTCCTTCAGACCACGAGACTTTTAAGTCCAGACAAATTAAGCATGCGTCCCTCTTAGTTTGTCATGATCTAAATAGAATACGGCAGAGCTAAAATTTCAGCTTTCGATATGTGACATTCAACCTAACTCAGTTTTGAGACTAACACTCTTTCCCTAATCTTTTCTACTTGCTCAACATTAAAATTTATTTTAAAAAAAATCCACCAGTTTTGGAAACCCTCCACTGCAGCCACAAACATTCAGAGCTCCTTCACGTGAGGAGGGGGTATGAAACAAAGCTTAGAACACAGGCAGTGGGACCCTGGAGCAGCTACCTAACACTCCTGCAGGCGACCAGAACCGGCTGGCGTGGCTGTGCTGGGAGAGGCCCGGAGACGCAGGCCAGCAGCTGGCCACTGCAGCACCCAGCACGCCGCACACAGGAGCCGCGGTTACTCATGCTACTATTTCACTGTTCAGAAATGAAAATACATTCATACGCCAATTTTTACCAGAAGTGGCAGAACGGTTCTGAGAGAGCTGTTCTGAGAGAGTAAGGGAAGAGGAGCTAATGCTCTTCTAAGAGAAGAGGAAATACTTTATTCCATACAAAAAAATGTGTAATTTTAAAGAAATATTATTAGTCTCCCCAAATATTAAAATAAAATATAATTGGTTATTTCTAAAACATCAGTACATGATCTCCTAAGTTAATTACAAATATTCCTATTTAATATATCTCTCTGATTATAAATCATTATGTGCATTATTTTTCCAAGATTCTTATTATATTATGAATTTTAACATATGAATGGTCTTTCAAACATAAATATTAACGGTAACGATTTAAAATAATCTCCACATTAAATGGTTGCAAAATCCCAACGATCAACTGTTTTCCAACCCACAGAGATACGTGCACTTAAAAACGCTGATTCTGGAGGCCAAGGGCTAGACTGGCCAGCAGCACCCCGTGGACACGGCCACACGCTGGCCTTCCAGCAGCCACCAGCGAGCTTCGTACCTTCTTCTCCCTCAGGCTGTCCGCCTGCACAGACTCCAGGCGGGCTTTGAAGTGCTCACGGTCCATCCTCAGTTGCTCTAATTCTTGCTCTTTCCTTTCCAGGTCTACAAGAAAGAGACATAAAAATACTCAGTATTTCAGATCACAGCTCTCCCCTAATATCCATGTTGCTTCATCTTCTCTTAGAAAAACCTTCTTTCTGAGGTAGAATTATTTGCATAACCAGTCCTTGAATAACCAATATTCTACAAGTCCTGCTTTTTAAGTTTTTGTTAGTTTTTAGCTCATAGCAGTGAGCACTTTTTTGTTTTCTGTTTTACACTTTTAAGACTTCATTTTACTGCCAGACTTGCACACTAAGGTTTTAAGAAAGTATGTTATTTCAAGGGCTGAAGGCAGGGCTGAGAGCCCGACTGTCTCATGGCACAGATCTGTACCTGCTCCATTAAAGCAGGAGGCAGCTCACTGAGGGGCCGGGGCCAGCCGGGGCTGAGCCACAAAGCTAGGCTCGCCACCTGGCAGACTGACTCGGTGGAACAGCTGCAGGAGTCAGTGGGGGAGTGAAAGCAAAGGGGATGGAGACACGGAAAGGCCACAGGGAAAGGCGGGGACTACTGAACGTGCCCTCTCCACCTCATGCGCGTAGGCGATGATTCCAACAGCCCACGAAAATCCCAGAAGACACTACTGTTAATCTGAAATCAAAAGTATTATCCACTTTAAATTAAAAATACCATGCTACAGAAATACTGACATTCAAAAAGCAAAGGAACAAAGTTTTAAGTGCCTTGGTTTTGAGGATATCATCAGTTTTTATGCAAACAGAATTTAACAAGACCTGGGGGGCAGTGTGCTCAGAGCTACTGCTGTAACTGCTTAAGTAAAGTAGCAATGCTTGAGGACAATGATTCCCAGCTCTACCGGACATCAGAATCCCCTGAAGACTTGTTATAACACAGCCTGCGCAGCCCCATCCTCACACTTTCTGATCCAGAAGGCCTGAGGTGGGCTTGAGAATCTGCATTTCTAACAAGTTCGCAGGTGAGGCTGATACTGCTGGCCTGGGAACAGACGCTGAGGACCGCTGCTTCAGGACGACAGCCCAGCCCAGCGTCTCATCACTAACAAAATGCAATCAACACACAACTGGCGACAGCAAACAGGGGAACCCAGTGCTAGGAATGAGAAAAAGCGTAAAAATGGAGGGGGGTGAAAGGCAGGCTGCCGTGAGCGCCTCAAAGGGCAGAGGCTGGAAAACAGGACAGCACTCCGCCCTGAAGGAGAAGGCTCACAGACACTTCCTCCAGTGCAGCGCAGACACGAGAGGAGGGGCGCGGCTTTACGACCTGGGGGTCTGGGCCTCAAGGAAACTCAGCTGGGGTGGGGGTGGGTGTTAGTGCCACGAACAATGAACAATGAATGCAGGGAGCCTACGTTTTCTAGGTACCCTTTGCCCTAGAAGGAAGATCAGAACCTAAAGCCATACATGCAGTTAAGACCTTGAAATGGCTGGCAAAGCTTCCTTTAAAATGTGTTTCTTTGACACTACGCTGAAGTGACACAAGACCATTTCTTCTCCCTGAAGTCAGGTCTCCGTGCTTTTATGATGTATTACGCCACTGCATGACTTTCACCAGGATTCTTGACTTTGTCCCACTAATCCTGGCCACCCGCGAAATCAACTATACAAATCAAGCGCATGCTTTGAAAACTAAGTATCTGCCTTTTGTAACAACGTTAAATGAAAACACATGTAATTACAAGTGAAATATGAACTGCAAACGGTCGCAGGCAAAAAGAAAAATTGTTTTAAAGCTAAGGTAAGATCATTGACGGCATAAAACTGTTTCTTTGCAGTTAACTTTTCATTTTTTCTTCTATTATTAAACTGTATGGTGCTCAAACGTGGTACAAGCCTTAGGGATAAAAATATGAAGGAATTAATTAAGACCACCCAAAAAACTCTTTCATTATGCTAATTTCATAATCTCTCTCTCTACATAGCTGCTTATGACCTTATTATAAGTTATCATAACAAAGGGACAGGGTTAAACAGTCTCACCCTGCCCCACCACCCACCCCAGCTCTCCAGAAGGCAAGTGCCTTTGTGCTGTCCGAGGTCACCGCCGTGTGGCCAGATGGGAGCACTGCTGCCGCCTCCAGACAAAACTCCCTCCTTGCATTTTTGACTTGGCCAGGGCTTACCTGCTACCTAAACTACATGAGGGCAAGGATCGTCATGGGTCCTGATGCATCTCAAATGCCTAGAACAGTACATGGCACCTACTAGGCACTCAATAAATATTTGCCATGTAAATGAATTTCATTTCTTTATTCCTTCCACTAATCCTTGGATAGAGGGAAAAAACACGACTGTTTTGATTATATGTCTCTTCTATAACAAGGATATGTAGCTTTTGCAATTTTTTAAAAATCAGGGACAGAATGATTTTTTACGGACAGTGAATGATACATCATATATGAGTAAGACGTTATCTTACCCAGCCTCAGTACTAGAACAGGAAGGGGCTGGCACCCAGCCTGGACTGTATTTCAACTCCTAAGTTTAAGCACTCAAAAACAAAGGAGAAATCTGTTACCTGTTAACTGAATGAAAGGGTGGCCTAAACAGACTACCAACACACAGGAACAATCTAAATCACAGGCCACCTCAACATCTCTGTATCTTCTGAAATTTACTTTTCTGATGGTATTAATTACATGACAGTGGCTATCAGCTCATTCACAGGCAGGATACAGAGAGCCAGAGATGAGAAGCAGGGCTACTGAAACCCAGTGAAAGAAATTTACACTATAAAAAAAAGGAATCAATGTCTCCTGCCCTTTCTTTATCATCTGGCATGTTTATAATGTTATTATTTATATTAATACATTATCAGATAATTCATGTTAATATGAAAATGTTAATTAAAATAGCTCAGTAAGGAGTCTCAAATCCAAAATAAAGGCTTTTTAAGCAATCAACTTCTGGCTTCTTATCACTAACAAGCTTAGAAAAGAATTTAGAATTACGTACTGATGGATTCCTTCTTTACTTTGAGCTGCGATTTGAAGGGTGTATTAGTTTCCCAGATCAGACATAACAAAGTACCACAAACTGGGTGACTTAGAGCAGAAACGCGTTCTCTCACAGTTCTGGAGGCTACAGTTGGAAATCGAGGTGCCGGCAGGGCCTCGCTCCCTCTGAAATCTGTGACCCTTTCCTGCCTCGTTCCCCCTCGGGTAGCCCCAGGCGCTCCTGGGTTTGCGGCAGTGTGCTCCCACCCCGCCTCTGCCTGTTGGGCTTCCCCCATCTCTCCATGTTACCTTCCCTTTGTGGGTGTCCGTCTGTGTGTCCAAATTCCCTCCTTTTATAAGGACACCAGTCATACTGGGTTAGGGCCCACCCCAAAGACCTGATCCTAATTTAACCAGCCTTCAAAAAAGTAAGTTAAAAAAGTGAAAGGATGAGAATATTCCAGGACTCATTTAAAAAAAAAAAACCTCTCAGTTAAAGAGCTTAAATGCATTTCCAGGCAAACAACACTAATTAGCTGTCAAAATTTTAAAACAAACCTAAGGGATGCGGAGGAGATTTGAAACCAGAATATGGAAATAGCGTTTTTTTCCTGCACTGCCAAAAATCTGCTGCTTTTTCTAACGTAAAGGCCACTGGAACACTCTTACAAGAGAAACAAAACGTGTGACTAATAGGAATCTGTCCTCCCCTGGCGCTGCCAATGTACCTGCACCACCTTTTCCCATCTCCACGGTGGCGCGCAGCCTGCTTGTGAACTGCCAGGGAAAGGATCCCATCTTACCCTTGTTATATGCCCACATTACCCAGCGGACCTTGGCAAATGCGTCATACTGAGAATACCTGCCTGCCTGATTTATCAACTGAATTCTACCACAAAACACTAAGATCAATCTTGCTGAACCCAAATGAACCAGAGTCAGGGACCTGTGCTTTTCATCTACTGACATACAAACAGAATGCTGGCTGGGCAGGAGCGGTACATTCAAGTAATGGATGTCTTGACTACCTTTCTCCTTCTCTGTCCCTAGACCCCCGTGTCTGTCTCCCCCTTCCCAGGCCCTGCCTTCTGGACAGTCCCCACATGCCCTTCAGATCTGCTCTCACCCTGCTCTGCCCCAGGAGGCTCAGTCAGCACCCACAGCAACCGGGCTTCCCTCCTGTGGCTTCCTGTTGGATCTGCACAGTGACGGCCCCCACAGGAAACGAGGACAGGAGGCAGATGGGACTTCTACCTGCCCACTGAGTCACCCGCACCAGGTTCAAGCAGCAGTGACCTTCTCCTCCCAGCTGAGGCCCTGGTCCTACCAGCACACGGCCCCCTGCTGGTCCGGAAGCTCCCTGGGAGACCACAGGGCCCCACTCTTACGGTCCCCTAAACCCTGGCCCACGCCTGTCTGTCATCCCTTCACCACTCTCAGTCTCCCCTTCCGTCGCCTTCCAGGACTTGGATTGACACACTCTGATATTATCGAATTTGGGCCACAATACATAAACTTCAGGTCAAATTAAATAATCTCTTCTTGGCACCCATTCTTCAATGATTATCCCATCCTTCATCAATTATCTCTCCGGTTCATGTTTCTACCGGCCAGAATAATTCCTCGCTAAGCTGAAACAGAGGTCTACTCTCTTCTCATTAATATCAGGCTGCTGGGAAATTAATCTCAAAACCCCTACAACTGCTTCAGAAATCATGCAGTGCAGTGCTTCTCAAACCCCACTGCTAAGAACCCAAGGCCTCAGGGATGCTCATGGTTCTGTAAATCTTTAATTAGTATTTCCATTTTATAGTAAGTTTTTAATCATTTTATTTGGAAGTAATTTCAAGCTTACAAAATGTCGTATAAATAAAAATACTACAAAGAATACCCACACACCCTTTACCCTGACTTACCTACCGTCAACACTTCTCCACATTTGCTCATCACTTGCACACACACGATACATTTTTTTCAGCCAGTTTAGGGTAAGTTACATATATTGTGGCCCTCTATTTCTAAATACGTCAGTGAATATTTTCTAAGAATAGGGATAATGTCTTAGGTACCCAGTATACAGTTGTCAACTCCAGGAAAATTAATACTAATACATTTATCTAACCTACCACGAACATTAGAAATTTTGTCAAATGACCTAAAATTGCCTTTTGCAGCATTCTCTCCCCCCAAGGTACAGCACCCAGTCTAAGGTCAGGTATTGGCATTTAACTGTCATGTAGCTTTACTCCCCTTTAATTTGGAACATCTCCATAACCTGTCTTTTCTGTATGACCTCAAACAATATATTTTTAACAACTTAAAAATCATAATACCACATGCAGAAGAACTTCCACTTCCAGCTAGCACGGTGGTACAGCAGATCAGTCTTCCCTAGAGAATAACCAAAAAGTGGAATTTGAACAAACCAAAAAAACTGTTTCAAGGTAACAGAGTTACCAAGTCACGCAGGCCTTGGGAGCCAAGACCCAGAGAAGAAGGAAACGCATTTAAGTGAGTGAGCTCCACTTTCTCCCCCACTCTTCCCCAAAGCATCTGCATATTCAGGTTTTTTAGTCTTTATCCTAAGAGCAAGGAGAAGCCACTGGAAGCTGACTTAAGCAGACTGGCTTGCTAAAAATTCTTCAAGCTGTGGTATACAGAATGGACTGGCGAGGGGCAATGAGTGGACACTCTGAGGAAGCAGAGATTCAGACAAAATGGCAGGGCCTGGACACAGGTGAAGGCAGTGGCAACGGAGGCGGGCTGACAAATTCTGGATGCAGCCATGAAGGAAAGGGCACAGGACTTACTGGCAGAGGGGCTGGGGGTGGAAGGGAAGTGAATAGTGAGAGGAGGGGTGAGCAACAAGGAGGATCCCAGGTCTCTGTCTGGATGGGGGTGCCCTGGGGAGGCTGAGAAAGCCCAGTGTCCAGTGGAGTGGGGAAGGGAAACTTGCTAGGCTGGGATACAAGACACATAAAGCTGGCCACCAAGTTAATGGGAAACAGTATTTCTCCCAAGGACATATTGCAAGAGTGAAGTGTCATAATGACCTCTTCTTTCAGTAACTGCTGATTTCTTGCTCAGAGAAAGTCCATTCTATAAAATCCTAGACTTCCAGAAATTTTGCTGTTTGGAATTGTATCAGTAAGAAGGAGGAAGCATCCGCTGTCCCCTGCAGGGTGGAAGGCACTGTGACACAGAGCAGCAGCCTTGATACCCAGCTAGCTGCAGAGCTTCAAATAGAGGATTTCTAAACACCACGTTCTACCAGCTATCTAAATTTTGTGATTTTCAAGGAAACAGGGCCTGGGTCCACTGCAGTGAGACCTGATGCTGACCCCTTCACACACAGCCCTACCTTGCTTGGAGCCCATGAAAACACAGCTTCATCTGTATTTCATCTAAACTGCACCCTGCTCCAAATCCTAGAGCAACTAGCCCTCTCCTCTGTTGGCAAGACGCTCACTTCCTCTGGTGTGTGGTCTCCCTTATTTCATGAGCCAGTAATCTGACCTTGTCAGACTACAGGTCCTTCCTGATGGTTGCAGGTCGATCAGGATAAGACAAACATTTAGAATTTGTAATGAATGTAAAACATGCAAGAGGAAATGCCAAGGAGGAGTCAGATACAGCGCCCTGAGCCTGGAGGAGAGGTCAGGAAGGATAAATCCAGGAACCACCAGCATCAAGATGGCAACGAAAGCTATGTGTGTGCACAGACTGCCCACAGAGAGGCCATGGAGCGAGGACAGAAGGGGGCCTAGGCCTGAGCCTCAAGCAACTCCACCAGCTGAAAGGCTGCTGCAAAGAAAAATGAATCAGCTAAGCAGACTGAGAAGAAACAGCCAGAGAGGTCAGGAGGAAAAGAGGTGACGACATGGCTGGGGAAGGCCAAGGACTGGGGAGCAAGATCTCCTGAAGTTTAACTTTGATCAAGTCGCTATGGATGTGTTTGTAGGCCTCCCTTTTATAAGCACTAGTATGATTTTGGCAGAGGACTAATCTCCAAACATTGACTCATGCCAAGCAACCCATGAGCCTTTGATGTGCTTTTCAGAATGCCAAGTCAGTGTGCAACAAGAAACATAAACTACCCAGCAGGCTGCCATCCTCAGCTGCTGGTCGGCGCTTTCCTTCCCTGAAGATAAATGCACAGAGGATGACTAACTGCTCTCAGAAAGTTGCTGACGGAGCACGAGGTCAGAACCAGGGAGATCAGGAAGCCAGTGACCTGGAGCTTATCTGGCAGGGTCCCCACAGGAAACAAAGCAAACTAGATGTTCACTTTACAAGAAGGGCCACTTACAGAAGAGACAGCGCGGGGTAAGAACCCCCAGAAGGGATGGAAAGGCACCCAGGACTAGCAGCGGCCCTCTAGCTGGAAGAATGAGGGAAGAAAGAGGTCACTGGAGCCCAGTGAGAGCTGGGACTGCGGAGAAGGCCCTGAGCAGGAGGCACAGCTGTGCAGAGAGCAGGAGGAACCATCCCAACCATTTTCTGCCCACTGATGCCTTCCACTGACGAGCCCTACCAGCAGCCAGCAAGGAAGCAAGAGGCATCGGTCCGCAGTAGTCCACCTCCCCGCCACCACGGGGCAGAGGAGGGTGGATCTGAGGATTCCAAAGAGAGAATAAACAGGCAGGGCACATGGTAGCCATGAGCATTCCCCCTTCTAACTGGATATGGCTGCCGCCTTGACCGCATACATCTCCTCAAACCAGAAACTCAAGATACGTCCTTGTCTAGTGCTAAAGACGTGAACCGGCCCCCCAAGATAAGAGGCTACGCAGTGACGGCTAGCGGTCAAAAGTAACGTGGGAAGGGAGCCTTAACCACTGCAGGCTGTGTAACTGTAACGCACCCTCCATCAGACAAGTGCTGCGTCAACCCCGAAACCACTCCAAGAGCTTCTGCAGGCTCCTAGACTGACACCTGACACCATGGCCAAGCTCAGATCTCAGCATCCACACGGACAAGCCCTAGTGAGCCCAAAATCAAACCAGCGCTAGAAACTGGTCCGCTCCTCAGCCCAGAGAAACACCGGAGTCCATGCAAGGCTGCCTCGTGGCAAGACCCCTGACTTACACAGACAAGGGCTTAATTCTTAGAATAGAGATTTTAAGCTATAAATTTCCTGCCGAGGAAGAAAGGAGGAGAAAGGAAAGCTGGTTAACAGATACTCAGAAAGCTGGCAACCCTTCCGCCGACACAAACTTACACATCCAAGTTACTCATCTGTGGGCATCTCCTTTACTTATATCTTATCTGACTCTCCCAAACGTAATTACAAAGACTGTAATGGTATCTTAAAGTTTACTTATAATCACCTCATGGTTATTTACATAAAGTAAATCTGCTCAAACAGATTGCTGTCACCATCAATGACTGCTAAAGATGAAGTAAGACTCACTTTTTTCTACAATCTTTAATTTCTGGAAGCTTTCCAGTACTTCCCCGTTTAGTATTCTGGGTAAGAAGTCCCGGATTTGCATCACTTCAGTTGTCAGACGTTCCAGGTCGTTCTTTCTGACTTTAACAAATTCTTCTTTAGTTCCCATGTGCTAAAAGGACAAGCAGATCTTAAGATTATTAAGATTCTCTTCAGATGACTGAAATTAGCAGCCCAAGTCAGCTGGCTTCCTTGTCTTTAAGGCCTCTTTTTTTGTGTGTGCTCATTAATTGTCTCTAAAACATGTGCCCTCTGCTATGCATATTATATCCTGAGAGCTGAAGCTCCAGCCTTCAAATTGCGAGCCAATTCTCTCTAAGTGCAAACAAGGCCCTATTCCTAAAAGCCAAAGAAAATGCCAGCAATATTTTCTTAACATTCCAGAGCCAAGCTAATCAGGAGGAAAAGGAATTTTACTGGATTCCCAGTGGGAGCGCCAGCCCTTTGCGGGCCATCTGACTTCGTATTCCCCACGACCCTCAAGGCTGTCCGGGTCAGGAACCAGGGCACAGCAGGGCGAGGAGACTCACAGTAACACCAGTACCAGGGGACACACCAGGATCTGAACCCGGGTGTGGCTCCCAAGTCCAGCTCCTGCTCCGGCATCCCGTGCAGCGGCTGTAGCAGCCGGGCACCGCGATGCCGAACCAGCGTT